CGTACATTAATTTTAAGCCTCCTTAGAAAAAATGGCTGTAGAATTCTTTTGGCATGCACAAGTGTCTCTTGCTCGTACGTTCCCCTGATATCATTACTACTACCACTCGACATCTGGTCGGTTATGATGACGATGGTGATAATGACGGTGGTGATGATGATGACGACGATGTAATGATGATGATGATGACTATGGAGATACACGAGTGAAGAAGATAACGACAAGAATTGATGATTGAGAAGTAATAGTGAAAAATTATTGAGATAAAAAGGGTGGTGAAGGTAAAAATATCGACCCAATTTTTCTAAAAACTTCCACCCTCTAAAATTCCCCCCCCGGAAACCCCCTCTACTTCCATTCAAAAAAATTCCCCCCCCCGAAACTCCCCAACCGAGAAAATTTTCCTAAAGTTGTCTGTTTTCCCGGCAAAAATATCTGGCATGAGGAAGGAGAGTAAGGACATGAGCTCTAGTAGGTTGTTCTGCAGTGGCGTGCCAGTTAACAGGAGTCGTCTCTCTGACTGTGTGTGTGTGTGTGTGTGAAGGTGTGTGTGTTTATGCGTGTGTGTATGTGTGTGTGTGTCTATATGTGTATATGTATTTATATGTTCGTGTGTTGTTTTTTATGTGTTTATATGTGTTCATATGTTCGCATGTTTATATATATATATATATATACGTATGTATGTATGTGTGTGTGTGTCTGTGTGTGCGGCCAGCCAGCCAGCCCGCCAACAACAACAACCAACCACACAGAAACAAACTCACAGATATTTTCATGAGACTCTTATATCTGTTGGAATGCATGTTTTTCAGCATGTGCCCCTCGTCGAACACCGCGTACCTGTAGTTGAACTTCTTGAACAGCACCCTGTCCTCAACGCTCCCAGACGCCATATTGTAACTGTTTTTATTATTATTCTCATTATTCTTCTTCTTATTATTATTCTTATTATTATTCTTCTTCTTATTATTATTATTACAATAGATATTAGTAAAAAGTAGATTGTATTATAATGAATGCATATTATCATTATTCTTATTCTTCTTCTTCTTATTATCATTATACAATAAAGTAGATTGTATTATAATGTATAGGACAGATTTAACGCTACAACGAAGGGCTCAGCATCAATTAAACCACCGACTCCTACCTAGTTAGGAATAATAATAATAATGGGAACATCTTTTATTTTTCGCCATTAAAAAACATACAATGATAAATATATATATATATATATATATATATATATATATATATATATAAGTTAATGTTAACTAATGCGCAATGATGAAATTTGTAAAAATTGTATAAAATAATATTAAAGGTTAAGACCATTAATAATAATAATAATAATAATAATAATAATAGAAAGAAAGGGGGTCCAGAAATAGGGATGTGCGCCGAACTTGATGCAGCTAACATAGAGGGCAGAAATAAAGCTTACGACACCTGGTGAGTATGACGTTGACGTCAGAGCCGGCCTTCATGAGCTGGTGGCGCATGTGCCGACGTTCCTCTTGCGAGCCGTAGTACGGCAGAACCTTTAATGACGGACACCACTTCTGCAATTCCCTCAACCAATTATCTGGGAATGAGTGAAGGAATGAGTGAGTGAAGGAGTGAGTGAGTGAAGGAATGAGTGAGTGAGTGAGATAATGAAGAAATGAATGAGTGGGATGAAGAACGAATGAGCGAATGAATAAGATAATGAAGAAACGAATGAGTGAGAGGAATGAATAAGTGAATGAATGAGTGAGCGAATAACATAATAAAAAAACGAACGAGTGAGTGAATGAATGAGTAAACGAAAAACGAATAAGACCGTCATCAGCGTGAACACCAACAACAACATCAACCGACCAATCGTAGATGATGGAGATATGATCACGTGAGGTCCTTCGTCGCCCTTCTCCAAGAGGTAGGCCAGGAAGGCGATGGTCTGAATGGTTTTGCCCAGGCCCTGAGTGATGTCATAATTTCAATGACGTTATAATAATAATAAGAAGAAGAAAACTTGAAAATTAAATCCCTTATCTCCTAATAAGTTATGGACGGTCATTGAATATATCGTAAATATTAATAATAGTAATAATAATGATAATATTAATAATAATAATAATATTAATAATAATAACGACGGTACGACTAACCATCTCGTCACCCAGTATTCCATTCAATTTGTGTTGGTGCATCATGATCAGCCAGTTCAAACCAACCAGCTGGTAAGGGGTCAAGGACAAACTAGGCAGGTTTACGAATAAAATTAAAGAGGTCAACTTATGAATATAAATTAGGTCAACCAATGAATGTTAATGAGGTCGATTTAGAACCATTAACGGAAATAACTTGAAAAAGTCATTTGGAATAATTCATTGTTGGCAATTATAACTCTTCACAACTGATTAATTAGACCAAGTCATGAATATTAACGAGGCCAATTAATAAATATTAACGAGGTCAATTAATGAATATTAATGAGGTCAATTAATGAATATTAATGAGGTAAAATCGTGAACTGTAATGAGGTAATTTTGATGATGACAACAACGTAATTATTTCCTAGAAAATAGAACTGCCATAAATATGGATAAATATAATTCTTACAGATTTCTTCATCAACAACAACAACAACAACAATAATAATAACCTTTCATTCAACAATTCTGGTTGTTTAGTAAGGCATTTTCTATTCGCATCTGCAGCACTACTACTACTACTATTACTTCCATTATTGTTATTATTATTATTAGCATTGGCAATTTTACTACTATTACTACTACTTCTAATTCTACTACAACCGCCACCACTTTTACTACAACTATTACTATTACTCTCAGCGACATAAACGTTATTACGATTACTAGTAAGGTGTTGTTCACCCCTTGAGCAAACATTACCACTATTATTAGAAGGATGTTCATTTGTAGTGCAAACATCGTCAGCTTTATTAGTAAGCTGTTCCCCCCCTAGTAATTCAAAAATGGAAGATTCCAGGTTGGTCGAAATTTTTTGGCACTTTTCCATCAATGATCTGATGTTGTCGCGAATCTCCAGTAGCACTTTGCATTCACTGATTATCCACTTACCAAGGTTTTTATTCTTTTCCAGTTTGTCTTTCTGCGTGCGTGCGTGTGTGTGTGCGTGTACGTGTGCGTTTGTATGTATACAAGTGTGTGCTCATGCATCTGTGTGTATGTATACAAGTGTGTGTTTGTATGTATGTGAATGTGCGCATACGATTTTATATATGTGAATGTAGATTGATGATTGTGTACTTACACGTGTGTGTTTTTGTAGATGTGTAAAAAGTGTGTGTGTGTGTATGTTCCTGTGTGTGTACGTGTGTATGCGTGTGCGTGTGTGTGTGTGTATCGCCACCATCGTCAGCCTTCTAACCATATCAGCCCAAGACGAGAACGGCCTCAGAGATGAAATGACCTCTGCCTTCTTCTTCGAACATCCATTTAACGAGGTCAGTTCATCGAGAGTTGCCAGGTTGAAGAAATTAAAAACCGCGCCCTTTTTGTCGGCGCCAATTACCATTTCCGTTTCCTGTTTATTATTATCATTATTATTGTTGTTGTTGTTGTTATTGGAAAATAGAGTAGAAATGAAACTGAATAACGCGTGCGCGTTTAACGTTTCCATGAATTGAATTAACGATTGAATAATAATTATAGCAATAATAATAATATTAATAATAATAAAAATATTAATATACGAATACGAATAACAATAGAACAAGAATAACTAAATAAATTGTGACCGACCATATCATCATCGTCGTCGTCGTCTTCATCTCCAATTAACTTGGATCTCTTCTTAATAGCCCCAACGACGTCATCACCGTCGTCGTCGTCGTCACCATAACCATTCTTCTTCTTCTTCTTATTATTATTATTATTATTATTATCCTTTTCGTCACTTGATTCTAAATTTAAGAGCTTATGTCTTCTCAACCTCCTAGCATTGGCTGGTTATAGGGTGATGACAAAAACGGTGATGATAATGATACAATAAAAATAATAACAAAAAAAAATAATTATTATTATTATGATAATGATCGTTCTGTCCACAATTTTAACACTCTGTAATTTTCCTTTCACATAATTTTGCGGGTAACTGAATTTGATTGAAAGGCGTGGAATCATTTAAAAAAATGCTTTTTCATTGTGCTTGAGCGTGCGAGTGTATGCGTGCGTGTGTGCGTGAATGTGTGCGTGTATATGTGTGTGTACGTATATGTGTGTGTGTTTTTAAATTTTTTCACAAATTAGAAAGATGTAGAACTCCAGTTGGGCGTGTGTCAGTCAACAACGAAACTGTAATGACAATGAAGAAACCCATCAGCCAACCAATCAAAGCGTCTAAAATCAGCAACCACTACAACAAAAAATCACCATAAATCTTCCCGTCATCCTCATCTTCTTCTTCGTCATCATCTTCTTCTTCGTCATCATCATCACCATCGCAGTTCCCTCTTCTATCATTACTATCACCATAATTATCATTATCATTAGTAGTAGTAGTAGCCGCAGCTGAAACAGTGGTAGTAGTAGTACTAGTAGTGGTGGTGGTGGTAGTAGTAATATTATCATCGTTGTTGTTGATGTTATTATTATTTTTATAAAAGGTGAAGTTAAATAGTTTACTAATTTTCTCCTGTCTCATGCTCTCTTTATAGGCCTTCAAGCTGCCCAAATTGTTAGTAACTGGAGAAATAATTTTTATTTGATTATTATTGTTATTGTTGTTGTTATTGTTGTTGTTGCTACTTTTATTAACGTTGTTTCTTTCTGATGTTATTTTCTCCGCAACTGACAGGATAAAATTTAGTTGTCGTTATATAAAAGAAAAACATCATCATCTTATTCACCATAATCCTCAACATCATAACCATCATCATATTCACCATCCTCATCATCATCATAACCATCATCATCATAACCATCACCATCATCATAACCATCATCATCATCATCATGGCCATCATCATCTTCATCATCATGGCCATCATCATTTTCATCATCATAGCCATTATCATCTTCATCATGGCCATCTTCATCACCATCATCATCACCGCAACTTGCTTTGTGTTTCTTGAAACTTTCTTATCTTTACCAAGGCAGTATCAACGTTGAAGTTACTCTCCCTGAACAGTCTAATTATATCCTAATTTGCATAATTTGATTGATAGATATATAGATATATATTCTAATTTGCATAATTTTATTGATAGATATATATCCTAATTTGCATAATTAGAACGATATATATGTATATATGTGTGTGTGTGTGAGCGCGCGCATGTATAAACATATACATACATTTTAAACATACTAATACTACTAATAACAATATCAACAACAATAAAAAAAATAAATGTAATAAAAGCAACAACACCAGAACCAACAACAACAACAACAGCAACAATAACAGCATCTTACTGGTTTATTAACAGAAGGGAATCTGATGCATAAGCTGATTACATGTTGTTTCGTGGCCACCAAATCAGCTGGTGGGGAATTATTACTATTATTGTTGTTGTTGCTGCTTTTGTTGTTGTTATCAACATCATCGTCGTCGTCGTCGTCATCTATTATGGCCCTCAATTTTCTACTTGATTTTTTGATTGGTGAATCCATGACCTCATCATTATCAGTGTCATTGATGGTATTATTATTATTATTGTTGTTGTTGTTATTATTGTTGTTGTTGTCAGTATGTTTAAAAGTGCATCTTCTATCAGTAGCTACTTTGTCTTTTGGTTCATGATTATTATTATTATTCTTATTTTTATTAATATTATCAACAAGTTTACCATTTCTACTCAGTAAGTAATTAGTGTTGATGTAATTGTTATTATTAACATTGTTCTCATCGTTATCAACATCATCATCATCACCAGGGTCTTTATCATCATAATCAATACTACCATCATCATCTTTATCATCATCATCATCAACACCGTCATCATCGTCTGATGACGATGATATTGTTAGTTTTATCTTTTTAGTCTTTGGTAACGAGGAAAATGATGAAGACGACTTTTTGCCTGATCGCTTTTTCCTTTTTAGGCTAGTACCTGTACGTAATTAATTGATCAATTAATTTTTTAAAATGAATAATATAATTTAATTAATATAATAATAAAATAATCATATCTTTTTATTACTTTTTTCATCATTTTGTGGTTTTTTAGCCGTCAGCCATGGAGAAGTATTACTATTGGTGACTTTTGTTGTGGATGGTAATTTTGCTGTTGCTGTAGATGCTGATGATGATGTTGTTGTTGATGATGATGTTGCTGATGATGATTTTGTTGTTGATGTATTTTTGCTAGATGAGGATGTTTTAATAGTCGATGTGAATCCATATTTCTCACCCATCATTCTAGTTGACAGTGAAGTCAATAAAGGTGACTGTTTAGCCGATGGTTTTTTAACAATGACTGAGCTGGTGGCACTAATTGAATTAGTATTTGGTGCCGGCTTCTTAGTGGTGGAATTTAGTTCGCTAGTGTTGGGTGACATCTTTTGTGGAGCATTTTGTTTGGTACTGTTGGATGATTTCTTTTGATCTGGGGACTCAAACATGTCAGGACTGCTACAGTAACTCCTAGAATCATTTGAAGGTGATGAAGCTATGCCTTTTTTAAGGATTATAAAATAAAATAAATAAATTATTTATATGTACATAATTAAAGTTGAATATATATATTATTATTCAATAAAACACTTAATATATTCATCAGTAATCATTTAAAATAACATTTTAATACTTTAAAACTTTATGGGCTAAATAATTAATTCAATATTTTGATGTTAAATTAAAATAATTATTCAAAAAAGATAAATAATCAATTATTAATGTTTTATAACTTAGATTTATTTTATAATATAATACATAAAAAAGTTTAAATTGAAAATAATGTAAAAAGATAATCTGAATGAATGAATGAATAGATGACTTACTACTGCTGTTGATCGTAGCGCACGATGATGAGTTACTGCCGCCGCCGCCATGATGGAAGACGGCCGGCCGTCTCTCAAAACCGAACCTAGACAGATCTCCGAATTTTGGCGTTTTATTTTTTTTATTCATAGTTGTTGCTTTTTTTAGTAAATTTAATTTGAATCTTTCAAATTACAAATTTTATGTTTAATTATTCATGAATTTAGACTTTCACAAACATAAAACTAAAAAATACAACACGGAATGTTTTAAACGTAAACATTAAATTAACTTTTAAAAGCCGGCTGTAAGTTATTTACTTGCGGCTGCTTTACTATCCCATAAGAACCTGTTTTACAAAAGTTTAAAACTGTGCTATCGAATAGAAAATTGTTTAAATTTGTGTATTTTTTTATAAAAATTTATCTAACTTTCAAACGATCAACAAATTTAGATTGTAAGCTTAAAGTAGTTGTAAAAAATTTTTTGATGTTATCTTTGCTACTAATTAACATTCACTGTCTTTTTTTTAATGGTGGGTCGGCTTGTTTCTTTGTTGGTTCGATCGGAAATCTATAAAAGCACGAACGTTTTGTAAATTGTAAAGTGTGAAAATTTGATTAATAATTTAAGCGCATTTATTTGATAACTTACGTCGTACTTTTAGTTGATAAATGGCTCGTTACAAGACAACGGAAACGACCGAATGTAAGGTTTATGTTGGCGATCTTCCGCGTGACGCCGATGAGAAGGAGTTGCAGAAGTCTTTTTCGCATTACGGCGCTCTGAAGAGCGTCTGGGTCGCTAGAAATCCGCCCGGATTCGCTTTTATCCAATTTGAAGATCCCAGAGATGCGCAAGATGCCGTTCGAGGACTTGATGGAAGGTTAATTAAATTTAAATTATAATTAAAATTTTATATTCAAATTCAAAATCAAATTTTATATTAATGATTTGTAAAATTTTTGACAATACAAATTGTGGTGGTCGTAATTTAATTATGGGTTGTTTAAAAAATTCTCAACAGCACTCTGTGTGGGGCCAGGGTTAGAGTAGAACATGCAACAGGCAAAACGAAGCCAAAAAGTTTCAACCGAGGCATGGGTCGCCCAGTGGCATATGGCATGCCAGACAGAAGGGAAATGATGCCATATCGCATTAGAGAAACATCCCCACCACCTCGAAGGCCCTATAATTCTGTTGTTGATCGCTGCTATATCTGTGGCGACTTTGGTCATGCGTCATACGACTGTCCCAGATCATCTTCCGGTAGGGGTCCAGTTAGGGGAAGTCATTACGCTGCTATGAGTAGTAGAGAAGTTCCCAGACGTTATGATAATGGTGTTGATCGAAGGAGAAGGTAGAATTTTATTTTATTTACTTACATTTTGTTTAATTTTTGGGTTAGTTGACAGTATGTTGAGTATAAGTTTAATTTAAGTTTATTTAAATGCCAAAAGTTTTAAACTAAAAATATATTAAATTACTCAGCTGACAGCAATTCAAATTTCTACAATTTACTTCTACCCCGGCATTAGTTCAACTAATAATTTCAGCTCTAGCTCACCATCGTCGAATTTTGCTCGACAACTAAGTGCAACAATAACACAACTCAACAAATCATCATCTCCAGCTTCAACATCATCATCTATCAACATTTTCTTCAACATCTCAACTACAACAACAACAAACATCACTTAACAAAACTATCAACATTTTTTCAACCTTCCCTAAATAACTACAACATTTCACCAACACTTTCCAAACAACAAATCATCAACAACTTCATCAGCTTCATCATCAACTACTACTACATCAACACTACCAACAACTGCAACATCACCTATCTTCCAACAACTGCAAGCTTAAAATCCAACTTATGCAGCAGCAGAAGCATTGCAGCCAGCCATCTTAGTAACTCCAATTCCACAAAGGCCATTTCCCTAACTCGTCCTCCAATCAATTTTTCGAAATACCGAATTACTTTTTCTGTGTTGTTCATTATTTGGTTTTTTTTTCTATCATTGATTTCGTATCACCACCATCATCATCATCTGTGTTAATATTGTCATCATCATCATCATCGAATGTTCATGTAAGTCCTTAGAATTATCAATATTTGTTTGTATCTCTCTCTCTCTTTCATTTAATTGACTACTATGATGAGTAATATTGCTATTTCTTCTTTACTTATTTTGGCTGCTATTTGGTTTGGCTTCCCTATTCTATCTCCTATTCTATTGGCTGTTATTGGCTCTGTCTCTCGTTTCATTGGCTACTATTTTTATCCTTCCGCGAATACTTACCTGAAGGAGTAATTATAATAAATTATAACCGATAAATTAGGACGCCACCATCACCGCCTGCGTGGAACAGCAAGACTAGTAGGACTAAGAGTAGGAGCAGAAGCTACAGCAGGTTTGTTACTATTGATATCCTGAAGGTGATGATTGTTGATACCATCGACAATGATAGTAGTGGTGTTGGATACTGGATGATAATGATGTTGATGTGTTTGTTGATTTCAAACATTAGTGTGATGATCTATTGTTGAAGTGCTAAGTTGAAATTGGTCATATTACTGTTCTAATGATGGTAGTGTTAAAATGGTGAATTATATTGTGGTGATGAAAGGGTGAATTATATGATAGTGATAAAATGGCGGGTTACATAAATGATGGTGATAAAATGGTGAATGAATTACATGGTGAATTAATTCACTTAGCTTATTTTTCTGCTTTTCTATTACCAGGTCTCCAGCTAGATCAGAAAGGAGAACAAGGTCAAAATCAAGAGACTAAAGCTGTTGTAGTTGTGGTAGTAGTTGTAGTAATGACAGCGCTAACGAGGAAGTGATTTAGTTCTAGTTTTAGCAGTTATAATAATCTACTTATTAACAGTTTTAGGGGTTGTAGCAGTTGTTGCAAATACGTGTATGTATGCATGTACTATGTTATTGTGTGTGTGGTGTGTGTATGTGTTTGTATGTATATATACTTTTGGCTTGCTTGTTTGCTAAAACAATTTGTTCATTTCTAATAAATAAATGGACAAATGAAAACATTGATTGTCTTTGTTATATTTTCATCCAAATTTTATAACTCAAATTGTTGGATTAGGGGTTTGTGTGTATGTATCTGCGTGCGCGCGCGCGCGCGTGTGTGAGTGTACGTATAATAATTTATAGATAGATTATTCTCTTAATTTGTCATACATGAAGTTCATTGTTTATGTTTTTTATCATAATCAAATCAAATAGAATGAACTGTCATACTGGTTAGTGTGTGAGTTACTGTAAGCCGAAAAGAAAGAAATAGTATTTTGGTGTGTGTGTTGTATATGATTGTTATCAAAGAAACAACTCACTTCCCATAACGTTTGATTTGATATGTCCAACACATTAACCACACCTAGATTGGATCATGTAGGTATTGTAGTAACCGAGCCATGTGTAATGGATTGGAATGTAATGTAATATTAATGTCATACTCATAACCATATATGTTTAGTAATATATCATACTATATGATGTTGGATTTCATTATTACATTATTATTGGAGGAATATTATGGGTAATGTAATTAATGTGCTCTTTAATAGAATGGAAATAATGTAAGTCTTATTGATGTCTTGTTTTTATGTATGTATGTAATTATATACATTTATATACTGTGTGTGTGTTATTATGTCGTGTCATGTTGAATTTTTTTTTAAATTGAAAGAAAAGCATGGTGATTGCACTCCTTCGTGAAATTTGCCGCTATGTTAAGGTATTTTTTACTGTATTAAAGCGTTTTCAATACGTACTAATCCAAAAAATACGTAATACCGACATTTTGTAATTCGCTTAAATGTATATATATATATTTATATGTGCGTGTATAAGTTTAATTATTTTTAACTTTAAAAGTAAAGTCGCAAGACAATGCCAATTAATCAGATGGTGGTATATTTCATTGAGTCTGTACCCATATACAAAGTTTACATACATTTCGTATTGTATAGAGCAACTAATATATATATATATATATATATATATATATATATATATATATATATGTTTATATATAAGATATAAAGTTGAATATGCCAAGACCGACTGCATGTCTTTTGGCAGAAAGGCATAAGTAGCGTAAAGGCAAGGCACATATATATGATAGGTGATATATATATATATGTGTAGAATGTATATAAAATGCAATGTATACAGTATAAAATTTGCCATGCTGAAATTCTTATGCCACCCTTATTACTGTCATTAATCGAACAATCCGCCAATAGTATGCATTGAAACGCAATAAGGCCTGGATAGCAGGTAAGTATAAATGTAAGATAGGCATATAAATCTGTCTTTCAATATATATATTATAAATTATACATACATATAAGTGTGTATAATTAAAAAAATTTTATTATTCGAAAAGTTGAAAAAGTTACAAACTCAAAAAAGCGGTGATATTTCTTAGCTGTATATGCGAGTCTGAACGCTAACGCTTTCTCTCTCTCTCTCTAGTGTTAAGGTAAAATTTCTTTCTTTCTTCTCTTTCTATCGACTCCTTAAATAGTGTAAATATTGTACGCTGAACACCGTTTATTTTTCTTACTACATTTACCAAGCATACTGTTCGACATTATTGTGTTTCTTTTTTCCCTCTCTCTCTCTCTCTCTCTCTCTCTCACTCTGTTTATCTTTCCATCTTCTCTCTCTCTCCCTCTCTCTCCTTAGACATCGTACTCATCATCGTTATCGACGGACATAACATCTGAAAATGATCTACTCACCCTAGGGTACTGTTGGTTGTACAGGTCACTGACGCTCATATTACTGCTATCATCATTATAATTAATGTTGTTAGTGTTATTATTATTATTGTTGTTGTTGTCTTCTTCTTTAGGAATAACTTCCTTATCTGTATCACCACCACCACCACATTCATCATCTTCATCGTTATCACTCCTTTCGTTAGCACTGCCTGTTTTGTCGTAGCCTTTCCCAGCGCAATGCAGTTGCAGATGTTGTCCTCCTCTGTTGGGTCGAAGAAGATGTTGATGATGGCGTATGCTTCGGCCTTTGTTGAAATCTGACAAATTAATATAACTTGTTCCAAAATAATGTATATATGTATATATATATATATATATACATATATATATATATTGAGTCTTAATCCATATACAAAGTATAGAGCAACTAATATTTATGATATATATACATATATATATTAGATTATGTTATAGTTATATATATATATATATAATTATAAATATATATTATAGATTCGATTTCATATACGTGTATTAAATTATCTATAATGGATAAAATTAAAAACAACTTTAATCTCCATACTGAATATCAATCAATCAATTGAATATACAAGTTTAAAATAGTTTTAAGCTTCCGCATCTAAACTATGGTAATATAATATGGGGTATAATACAGGGTTTGATTTTTATTTTCCTTTGAGAAAAAAGATTATTTTAGCAACTTTAACAAAATCAGGTGATAATCCGTTTCCTAAATGTCAGGTTTGATATACGAACAAAATGGTTAATGATTTCATTAATGAATCATTTCATAAGAAACACGTTGAAACCATCATGCGGTAAGCCGTCCCCATCATCATCATCATCTTCTTCTTCATCCTCGCTTCTGTCCGCTTGTATAGGAGTCAGGCTGGTTATTATTATTATCATTATTGTTATTATTATTGTTGTTGTTTCCATACACTTTAACGCATGCAACAAACACATACAAGCAGGCATACAATCATAATAACGACGATAGTGGTGATGGATTGTATTGAATTGCGAAAAATATTATTATTTCTAATGTTGTATGACTCGGTTTCGTTAGATTCGATCAAGTTATTACTTCACCATTTCATGACGTGATGTCAAAATGTTTGACACTTACCCCAGCGACATCCTGGTCTCGTAGTCAATGACATTCATCAAGTTGTAGCTTTTGTAATGTTTAGAGTTGAAGTTTTGAGATCGTCGTTGTTGTTGTTGCGGTTTTTGTAGTTGTAGGTGCTGCTGTTGTTGGTGTGAGGGTGTTCTGCTATTGCTGCTGCTGCCGTCGCCACTGCCGCTACTGCTGTGGCCCAGCTGACATCCAGGTGGTGACTGGGTGAAATTCCTGAAGCTGCCATTTGCATTGAAGACGCCGAATGCTTGCTGTGGTATGTGCATTTGGTGGATCTGCTTTTGAAACGATTCTAAGAGTTGTTGTTTGAAGTGCTGCTGCTGCTGTTGTTGTTGCTCAATATTTTGTTGTTGTTGGTGCTGATGTTTGGTTAAGCGTTGTGGTTGTGCACTGATGGGCTTTTTGAATAATTCTTGCTGCTGGTGCTCCTGTGATTGCAGGTGTTGTTGTTGCAGGTGTTGTTGCTGCTGCTGATGTTGTTGCAGGACAGTTTGTTGTGGCGGCTGAACGAAATACTGTTGCAGAGATACATTTTGTTGTTGTTGTGATTGGAAAAAAATCGGTTGCTGGTGTTGTTGTTGTTGGACAAAATTTTGCTGTTGCTGAGAAACGTTCTGTTGCTGCTGCTGCTGACAACTGCCACCACCACTACCACTGCCACTACCATTGCCAGAAGCGGCGAGATAGGAGGCCAAATTAGAACACGACAGACTTCTAGAATGGTAGCCAGTGGTATTGTTGGACACCCCCTCCTGGGCCGCCGTCTGATTGGACTCGCCCAACTTCGACGTCATCGATGACGTCATCAGCGACGTCATCAGTAGAGATGATGACGCGGAAGTGATCAACAGCGACGACGACGATTGTTGAGGGAAGGAGTCGCTACGAGCGTCGCAATACACATCGTCGTTGTTGTCGTCGTCGTCGTCATTCAACGCACCTAGAGACGATGATGATCGTGAAAATGATGATACAAACAAGATATCTATGATAGTATCATTATCTAAAGTAACTTTCGTTAATGATAGTCATCGGTGATAACCATCTTAGCAATGTAATGAAGAAAAATGACGAGCGACAAGCTTACCTGTATTGCTAGGCACGGCCCTAGGGGTGCGGGGTGTAAAATTGTAGGGCGTACCTGTAGGAGTGGCCATGTTCGCGTCCTCCATGGCGTTTATGGGGGCTAAATAATAATAATAATAATATGGAAAACTTATAAAAACTGAAATATAAGAGCCTAATTATTGTAATGCATGCAGGTACATACACAAACAGAAACACACGCAGACCAGACATGTGTACAGCAGAGATATACGCTCAAACAAATACAAACACACAAACAGAAAAACACACACAGACAACCACAAACACACACAAACAAACACACACATCCATGTTTAGAAGATACTAGGCCACGGGAGTAATTGATGGGTGACATCTCTGGCGAATAATGAAGGAATTGCGAACTGGCCGAGCACCTTCTGTAGGAGGGGCTAACTTCACTCATGGGACAGTGACCATTCGGACTCGAGGAAAATAACTAAGTGACGGATTAGTGTAACTAGTGACGGATAAGTGTAATTGGTGAAAAGATTAGTGTAATTGATGAAAAGATTAGTGTAATTGATAAGAAGATTAGTGTAATTGGGGATTGAAATGTAGTGATTAATAATGATGATGATGATAAGGATAATAATAATAATAAAAACAAACGTACGTCATAATTATCCTTACTCCCAACAACTACGTCATCGTCATCATCATTGCTATGATCATTATCATCATCGCCGCTTGGTCTTTTGTTGGGGGTCTTAAATTCGTCTTCCAAATCCTTCAACTGGCTAATGTCCATTTTAATGTTGTTATTATTGTTGTTGTTGTTGCAGCTGATGTTGGGTAGAGGCCTTGTGGAGTTGGATGAATTAATTTAAATTTGTTTAGTATGATTAGTACAACCGGATGGATATAGTAGTCATTATCAAACTTCTATTACAATCATCACCATCATCGTCGTCATCATCATCATACCGCAGCCACGTCGTCGTTCCCACAAACCTAAACGGACTAGCGTGTGTTTTTTTATTCTGGAAGAATAATTTCCTCCTTAGCGACAAATTCCCAAAAGAATCGGTTTCATTTTCATTCTCTGCAATCTGATTGGCTGCTTTCCTTGACGGCTGCTTTCCATTGGCCGGCACCTGACCAATCATAGTGCTCAGTTTCTCGTCAGACAGAATAAATTTGCTGCCTGATAAAAATATTGATAAATTGATGAGTTAATTGATGAGTTAGTTGACTGATTGATTGGTCTGTTGGTTGAATGATCTACTGATTTGTAGTTAAGTGATTGACTAATTAATCATTAGTTTAGCTCCACCCACTTTTATATAGTAACAATTTAAATAAAACTTTATTGCTAATAATTACAAACATCCCTAAGCTAGCCAACGTTATCACTTCTGCCGAAAGTTAAGACAAAATGTTTTTAAAAAAATTCTCGATTAAATTTTTTTTTCTTGAAAGTTCACTTTTGAACACTTTAAGCCGGGCTTGCATTGCATGGAAAAGATTAAATAAACATGACATTAACATGAGTGGTTAATTTAGAAGTTTTGTCAACATTTAAAAGTGGGAGGAGCTTAAAAATCTGATTAAAAAAACACTGACCAATCAAACTAATTAGATCAACATCCGCTGGTAGACTGACGCTTGTCTGTGTACAGGCTAGATAGATGGAAGAAATTAAAAGAATGAATGAAGACAGATTGAATGAATAAATGAATGAATAAATGAATGAATGAATGAATGAATGAATGAATGAATGAATGAATGAAAAGACCCAATTCATCCATAGCCTTAGTCATTCTACCACCTTTAACAATGAATTTGAAATTAAACGAATAAAAAAAGGAATGGATGAATGAATGAATGAAAAAAATATATGAACGAATAATAAACAGCCATCATCATCTTTCTCATGGAAACAACTCCACCATCGCATCCATCCCAATCATCATCAGTACCGTCTACGACAGCCTGACTCCTAGCTGATCTGCTGCTGTTGTTGCTGCTGCTGTTGTTGATGCTGGTGATGATGTTTCTCCGTGGATTTGAAACATTTTTGTTGCTACTGTTGTTGTTGTTAGAGTTGTTGCTGATGTGGCTAAATACCATTGGGCTTTCTATCGTTGCAGTTGAGTTGGTGCTTTCTTTATTGAATGAGTTTAGTTTATATTTAATTTGGCAAATGATAGATTACTACTCAATCAATCAATCAATCAGTCCCGAATCAATCAAGCAGTTTCAAATTAACCAATCAATCAATCGATCAATCAACCAACCAAACAAACAACCAACCACTCAATCAGTCAATCAATCAATCAACCAATCAACCAACCAATCAACCAACCAATCAATCAACCAACCAATCAATCAATCAACCAATCACACAACCAATGAACGAACTTTTGTATTTGGACGCTTGCTTCTTCTTTGAGCTGGCTGTAGACCAGGGTGAAGGTGCAATGACATGAGTGCTGAAAAACTCATCTATGGCTTGTTGTGCCCTCTCCTCTAACTCTGCATTCAGACTGATTGATCGATCGTATGATTGATTGGTTGGTTGGTTGGGAGGAAGTCGATCGATCGATTGATTGGTTGGTTGGAAGTCGATCAATCGATTGATTGGTTGGTTGGTTGGGAGGAAGTCGATCGATCGATTGATTGGTTGGTTGGAAGTCGATCAATCGATTGATTGGTTGGTTGGTTGGGAGGAAGTCGATCGATCGATTGATTGGTAGGTTGGAAGTCGATCAATCGATTGATTGGTTGGTTGATTGGGAGGAAGTCGATCGATCGATTGATTGGTTGGTTGGAAGTCGATCAATCGATTGATTGGTTGGTTGGTTGGGAGGAAGTCGATCGATCGATTGATTGGTTGGTTGGAAGTCGATCGATCGATTGATTGGTTGGTTGGTTGGGAGGAAGTCGATCGATTGATTGGTTGGGAGGAAGTCGATCGATTGACTGATTGGAAGGTTGATTGGTTGGGAAGAAGTCGATTGAAAGATTGATTGATTGATTAGAAGATTGGTCGAGAATAGCATATTGATTGATTGATTGATTTGGATTGATTGGCTGATTGATTCGCTGATTGATTCATTGGTAGATTGATTGATTGATTGATGAAATTATAATTAATTAATTCATCAATTATAACTAATAGTTTTTATAATTGAGGCAGAGTTCATTGGCCAAACCAACTTGTAGACGGAATGCAGTGGGGGGTCTTCGATGTGGGCAGGTTTCAGAAGGGCAAGATCATCTATTGACCACCTAAATTTCGGGGTCAGCTGGTGAAAGAACGAATGAACAAACAATTAAATGAATGGATAAGTGAATGAATGGATGAACGAATGAACAGATAAGTGGATATGTCAATAAATGACTGACAGATGAATGAATAACTGATTGAACAAATGAATGAATAAATATCATCATCGTCATCATCATTACTATCACTCACTCATCATCATAATCATCATCAAAACCCACCTTTCTATCAGGGGTTATGACCTTAAACACATTAGGACTGCATATGTGCTGGCTCAGTGAGTCTAAGAGGCCGGTCTCAAATGGGTTGTAGTAAGATTGCTGCTGTTGTTGCTGCAACAGTTTAAGCAACCAACCAACCAATCAATCAATTACTCTATCAATTATTCTATCAATCAATTAATCTATAAATCAAGCAATCAACGAGTTAAACACAAATGATAATTTATTTATTCAATTGATTAAGGTGTCAATTAATTAATTAATTACTCATTATAATAATCATAAATTACCAAGTTATTATTATTATTAGTAACATTCCTGGAATCAGATTTTGGAGTCTGAAAATTTTTTTGCTTAACCCAAGCAGAGGCCGGAGTTGATTTGAATCGTGGACTGTTGAAATTGTTTGGCGGGGGACTGAATGGCGTGTTTTTGTCTTTGAGTAACAACAAGGGTTGTGACTTTTTAACACAAAAATTTACTTTATGAGGTTCTTGGGCACTATGAGGAACCCTATTTAGTGGTTTTGATGGGGTCGATTTTATCACATCTTGCTGATTTTCGGCACCACTATTTGAGTTTGCTGAGTCAACTCTTTCAGAAGTTGATGCACTTTTGGCCACCAGGGGCATTTTCATCAGTTTTTCATTGTTCTGTTTTGGTTTTGCTCCAGACATTTTTAATTGAAAATTTATTTATATTATGGTTGAGCTGAGTCCTTTGCTTTCTTACTTTTCATGCTCTTTACACTAAAATTAGGAATGTCTTCTCAATCTATATCTTTTAATTTTTAATTAAACGGCCCTGTCTTTGCGTTTTTTATCTGTTTAAAATATGAGTTAGTTATAAATTAGAATTAGTTTGTCATTTGGATTTGAATAAATTAGAAATTTGAATGTTTTTCTTTAATGTTGATATTGTTGAGTATGGCTACTTGAAAGTAAAATTACTATTTTTTTCATATTTATTTTCCGTTGTGGTTTCTATGTTTTATGATTTTACAACAATTAATAAATTATTAATTTTATTTTTTTTTTCAGAAAATAAAAAAATCCAAAAAAAATTTCAATTAAAAATGAAAATTGCTGTTAAAAAAAAGTACCACGATAGTATGAAAATCACGATAGAATTAAAAAATAGGAGTAAAATCTCTCAAAACAAGTTCACTAATCCCCAATTACTAATTAGTAATTTCAAACTAAACTTTTTTAAATTTCCCACATTACAATATTTAAAAGGAAATGGAAACTTCAAATTGTATTTAAAAGTGAATTTAAATATTTAACAATATCAAAAAACGCTTCACTTTACTTAAAACCATTTTAAATGTATAATAATGGATTGAAATCATCGTTTTAATCATTTTTACTTGGTTTTAATTTAATTAAAATATAACACAAAACTAATATTTTATTAAAATATAAAAATTATAACAAATTTATCATATTTCAATTGTATTTTGTAACCAATTTGATTAATTATGATTAAAATTATTAACAAGAGAATCATTATATTTAGGTGAATAAAAACACAACTATACAACAACACATTTACAACAACTACTACTTCTACTACTACTACAACTACTACTACAACTACTACTACGACTACTACAACACCTGCAACTACTACTTCTAATGCTTCTCTACTACTACTATTGCTACAACAACAACAACAAAAACAACATTTTAAAATTACTACCGAAAGAACCATTAAATTCAAGTATATAAAAATACTAAATTAACTGTTAACCACAACGATAACAACAGCAACAACAACAACATCAACAACAGCCTGTCATCGTTTTTGGTGTGGTAATGGAAACAGAAGTTAATTTCTAAAAAACTTATTACAATAGGGTACAATACCAAAATACATTATCACGCAATACAATACAATACAATACAAAATGATACAAAACGATACAAAACTACACAATACAATACAACACGATACAATACATTACAATACAATACAGAAGTTGATACCATACAATACAATACAATACAATACAATACAATACAATACAACACGGTATAATATTTATAATTGATATTCTCACGCTGCTTTTATTAGCTCTTCTTAAAAAATTAAAAATTTTTTGACTCATTCTTAATAAATGTATTAAATATGCTTGATGAATTACAGGAGATTAAACGTATAGTTATATATAAATAGATATATAAATATATGTATATGTGTGTATATATATATATATATACGATACAAAACAATATATATATATATATATATATATATATATATATATAACAATATTATAACATCATCAGTATTATAATTATTTTTATTATTATTGTTATTTATAATTCTCTCTTATTTCAATTCTTTCTGTATGTTAATGAAATTAGTGCAATTGTTATCGTTGCTAATGTTAATAAACTATAAATGTATAATATATATATATATATATATATATATATGTTGGTAATAGACCATAATTTTTACAATATTCTATAAATTCTACCTAATGTTTGGCGTTAATATGTTTGTAGTTCGTTTTTTTCAATTTTTCTCACTAAAGTTTTTTTTGGTGAACGTT